GGAGTAAATGATGAACCAGGCCAAGAACATGGTCGAATAATAGGCCACAAAATCAGCTCAATCAGTCTTTACAGTGAGGCATTTGAATCAGATTTAAGTAAATACTTTGAACCGCAGCACATACACTCTGCCAGGATATGCATCAGGCCTCCTGTGTTTGTCCAGGTTCAACGTGAAGATGGAACAGCATCAGACAAATGGGTGATTGAGGTGGATGTGGTTCCTCTGTATTCTGAGACTAAGGAGAGAGTCTTTTACACTATTCTGAATATTCCATCCACAGATAAGAATCAGCAGCAGTCCAAAATTGATTGTCTTTTTGTGCGAGAAGGATCCAGAAAAGTCAACATTTTATCAGATTCAAATCCACGTGTGTTTCAAGATAAAATTAAAGAAATCAATAAAAAAGTAAAGTGTTGGTCATCAGCTCGTAGAACAGCAGAAGAAAGGTATAAACCTCCCCCTCCCTCTGAGCACCAGGGTCAAAGACTGAAACAGCTGATCACTCGTGGACAAGATTCACTTTCTGATTCCATGCAAGTGTTCGTTGTTACTGACAAATGTCATTCAAGCCAATTGGAGCACATGGACTTTTTGAAAGAACTGAACTTGTTTGCAGTTTTGGATTTTGACCCAGAGTCTGACACGAATGGAACCTGCCACTTTTACAGAAGAGACCGTGCAGCCAATCTGCATTTCCCACACATGTACACAACACAAGACAGCACTTCGGTTATAGCTAAGCTAAATCTGTTTAAACAAACTAGCTGGGTCTTCTGTAATGGACGTGCTGGTGAAGAGAATGACTCAGAGAGACCTCTCTCTCAACGCGAGTGGTTGAAGAAACGTTCTGTAGACATTAACAACATGGTGTCTTTTCTCTGTAGTCCTGACTTGCTTCCTAAACACAGATTATTGGTCCTGATCATTCTTCACTCTCCTATTTCTGACATCTCAAGCCCTATTCTAGAAATTTTATGTGCACTGTATCGCTCTTTAGAAGGAATGGACAACATGCTTTGTCTTTGCAAAGATTCCACAGTTTTCAGCCACTGGAAGAACTTGGTGGAGAATCGCTGTAAAGAAGACATCAGCAATAAATGCATCTACAGTTTGAGCTTACATGAGATCTCCAGCACCATAAAGAAACTGAAAGAGCCCCAGACACGTGCCTCCAGAAGGTATTTGCCTTCCACAGGTTCTAGCTCGGTCCTACTGGAAAAGAAAGAAGAAGAGATGATGACAGATTTGGAAATATTGTGTGAAAATGAATGTGAGAAAACAGAAATAGAAACAAACAAATCCTTTGAGGAGTTCAAGAAGAACACAGAAGAGGTGTTTTACAGGGGAGGCCAAGTGTCATGGTGGAACTTTTACCTGTCAGAGCAGCCAGGCAGCCTGCCCTTCATCAGACGAGACAAATATGATGACCTACACCAGCTCGTCTGCCCAATTCAGGGCCACACCTCTCCTTGTGTGATTGTGTCTCTGTTCCACCACCCAGGTTGTGGAGGCACTACTTTAGCCAAGCACATACTATGGAGCTTAAAAAACAAATTCAGATGTGCAGTTGTTAAAAACCAAATGGCAACAAATAAAGAGATTGCATTGCAAGTCAGGACACTGCTCACATATGGTAAACAAGACCAGTCAAGCTACACACCAGTTCTGTTGTTGGTAGACAACTGGTATGATTTTGGTGACTTAAAACACTGTATCATTAATGCTGTTACAGACAGAAACCAGTCCAACATGGTTGTTATTCTGAACTGTGAAAGAACACCATTCCCTGATGCAGCCTCAAGACACAGTGACCATCCAAATGTGTTCATCAGTGCCAAGCTCTCATCAAAAGAGAAGGATTTGTTTTCAGAGAAATATCAGGAACTCAAAGACAACCATGACAAACCAGACACTTTCTATGCATTCATGATCATGAAAAATGATTTTAGCAAAGACTACATTAGTGACTTAGTGAACAACATTCTCAAAGATCTAGAAGTTGATTCCCCACAGGGCAAACTTTTGTCTTTTCTAGCTTTGCTGAACGCATATGTCAATGGGTCCTACATGTCCCTCTCTTTATGTGAGGAGCTGATGGGGATTAGAAACCCTCTTTGGAGGCAAGAATCCCTGGAAGATAAAATGAACCCATATTCCACTCTCCTGATAACTTTCACTGTTGAGGAACATGGCACTTACCAAGCAGTGCGGCTCTTACACCCAATGATTGCTGAAAACTGCATCAAAGTTTTCAAAGAGCAACAACTGTCTGGTCTTTCTGATATAACCATTGACTTGTTGTTCTGTGAGAAGCTCTATAGAACATGCATGGGAAAGGATTTCCTGAACCAATTTATCCAAAGCATGTTAGTCACACGGACCAGGCGAGAGCAAGGAGATGACAAGAACACGTTATTTTCACCTTTGATCGAAAACATTCAAAAAGAAGAAGGTTTTGATAAGGTTAAAGAAGTCCTTGAAAGAGCCATAGAGAGATTTGACAGAAGTGCAACATTGCCTCAAGCTCTGGCTAGGCACATGTGTCTTAATGAGAAAGACTTTGACTCTGCTCTCAAATGGGCCCTAGATGCGCAGAGCAAAAGATCTAACTCCTACATTGCAGACACAGTGGGACAGGTGTACAAAAGCCAGCTCAAAAAGCTCATTGAAGATTCTGAAGATTCTAAGGAAATGTCTCCAGAATCACTTGATGAAAGTTTACAGTTAGCATCTAAAGCTGTGTCTGCATTCAGGGACTCTCAGGAACTAGCAAAGAAAGATGACCAAAATGATCAATTTGATCAGCACTTCAAAAGAGGCCATACTTCATACAATTTGTCAGGCTATCTTGGAGAAACAGAGGTTATAATCATGCTTCTTGAATTCATCACTAAACCTCTTGTTTTCTCGGCCAATGACAGACACAAAAGAGACAAACTATTACAGTTTCTGAGAGGTCAACATCCTGTTACCAACTTGTATGATCAAAATGACCCAGGAATTAATGCAATTGTCAATGTCCTGAAAGTTCATGAAAGGTTTTTGCTTTTGTTAAAACCAAGGCTAAAGGAAAACTTTACTTTTTATGAGAACTACTTCACATACTTGAGACCAAGACATGTGCCTCTCAAAAAGGAAACAGTGGGATGAAAGAAACAAACGTAAGATCTCAGATCTTTTTAGGAAGTACATCATGCTATTTAGTTGTTCAGAAGAGGAAAAACAGTATGAACGGGCAAGAAACCCCAAACTAAGTCAACAGCAGGTGATAGTTGATCACCGTCGTGACCTGGAGATGATGCAAGCTGATTCTTTTGCAGGTCTTCTGCAGAGTTTGAGCCACAAAGACTCAAAGGGAATGGAAAACATTTATGAGAAATGGAAGTTCATCTTTGAACATTCAGGAAGCAAATTTCCACACACTTTCGACACACTGAATTACATCTTAGCAAACATTGTTCTTCACAGCGTCACACCAGACTCTAGACGGCTGAAGAAATATGAGGAGTTAGTGGCGCTCCTTAATGATGTTCTGCAGAGGGAGGGCACTCGATCCAACCTGCCTGAGCTCTATTACCTCTGCATGCTACTGATGTGGCCGTCCAAAGACCAGTCCCTCAAAAACTTAAAAGAGTACAACAACATCAGCACCTACATCACATCAGCCAAAAGGTCCTTCCATAAGCGCTTCAGTTTCATCTTTCCATCAAGAAGTGCTATTGCTCATTTCTTTCTTGGAAAGTCAAGTGGTTTAAAACGGATAGTTAGCAAAGCAAAGCTTGACCACATTTTGCAGGAATCAAAATCTACTGAACAAATAAAAAACCTTTGGCATACTGGGTTAGTATGGAATGATACTATTATCCAAGAGAAGCTGCTAAGAGTTAAAGGAAGATCTGAAAACGGTGACATTTATGTCACTTACGGTGCCAGCACTAAAATAATGATCCGTCCTGCCTACCTTGGGGATATTCGCAGTGGATACAGTCGAGAGGAAGTATCTTTTTACATTGGCTTCACCTTGGAAGGTCCTGTGGCTTACGGAGTCAAATATGAAAGCTAAAATAGAGTATGAATGCGTTCAGATATATTAGAAAAATCTAATCATCTGAGCCTATCCACTCATCTAGCTGCATACCCAATCGTATACATTGGGTATATGATTGTCATTAACAGTTACTGCTGCTACAAATAAAATATACTTATAATCTGAAGATTGCTGTACATAGGAGTTAAATGTTATTTACTTGACAACATTTACTTCCTAAATGTATTACTTTTTTTTTTTAACATGTCATGTAAAAGGCAACTTTTTAGAGATGCAGTAGATATTAATTGTAATTAAAGTGATTATTGATAATATATTATAAATTTGTGTGTATTGGTAATCTGTACGTTTTTACATTTTTAATTATGTCTAATTTCTCTAATGTTTGCATAATGTACTTAACTGTGTACTGAATATCCTGCAGATGAAATATTGTAAATTATAGTGGAAGCTTTACTTCATCCTACTCCGTTTTTGAACACTGAATATTTAAAAAAAAAATTGCCTTATTTTTCATTGAATGGACATGTTTTGAAAGTTGAATGTTGTGCTTTCTTACATAAAAAAAAAAAAAAAAATTCTAATAAAGTAACAGTATACACTACCATATGACTTGTGTACCTGCCCAGTCCATAATGCAGTTATTTCTATTGTAGTGATCTGATATGGCTGATTTTAGGATTTATTTTTACTTCATCCTTGTCTTGTTGATTCTCCCCAATGTTGTCCTCTCAGAACAAGTTACTGAGACTGCTTCTGAGACCACCAGATGGAGGCAGGCTTGATTATTCTAATGGATCTTCCAGAGATCTGTCAAACTGACCACATGCAAGGCAACAACAACTCTTAATAGATATGTCACAGCAGTCAGCTGACACCTCGGAGGAAGAAATCCAACCATTACAACTGTAACCACTGTTGAGTAAATAGGCAATAGCTTTTGGGTATTACAGGTTTTATTAGAAGAAAACACAAGTTGATAAAAAACAAAGAAAAGAGAATACATCTTCTAAATACAAAATAAATAAATATTTCAGATTTTGAAAAAAGAAATAATAAAGTGGCTTGTCAATGACCTCTGACACTATGTAAAATAATGCACATAGCATGTATCTGGCTGTGATCTGGAAGTGGATCTCGAATCTGGTTGTTCATTTTAATTGAATGTTACAAATAGCCGAGTGTTAGCTGAAGCATGTATCTATATTAAAATAAAGCTATAACATGGTGTTCACATTTTCCACCAGTACTTATTGTCCATCTTCCACCATATGATTTTTAAGGATTGACTGATAATTTTAGTGAGACTTTGACTGGACCTGGGGTCACAGACCTTTAGTCAAACTCACAAGTGGTATATGACAAGGGCTCATTAAATTGTTAGGTCTTGCAATTGCAAAATTATTTCTAATCTAGATAACCTACATGCAAGTAAATCTGTCACATGAAACAAATATCAAAACACACATTTACAATGGGCACTTTGACAGTAATTGTGTTAATAATCCACCCAGATTTGTCCTTCTCTATAATTTCTGAAAAGTATAGTTCAGTAAATATGTTTTATTAATTTATGATTCAATTAAGGGGGATTTCTGAGTCTACATTTTACATTTCCTGAAAAAAGAAAGTTTTATTATAAAAGTTTAATTATCAAAAACACTGAAGGTGCACAGTACAATTTTTCTAGAGGGGAGTCTGCTACCATAATAATGCCATTGCTTTGCCTGGAATGTTCCACAGTATGGAATTACACTTTCTTTCATATTTTACATTTATTAAATTAAAGGTGTTTTATTGTCGACACATACATTCTTACTCTGAGCAGGGTCACCTCTTCACAGATCTAACTTGTTGCTTGGTCTGGTGGCATCACCACTTTGTTTACATGGAGTGATAGATTACTGTTACTGTATACTGTGGAATGTTCTGGAAAGCAAAAACATCTACATGGAGACAAGCAGGTTTTAGACCCTCCTCCAGAAAAGTTGCATTGTACACCTTTAACAAGATAACAAAAGACAACATTTATAGGGAATAAGTATGGACAATAAGTTCCACTGTAGCCTCTCCAGATAAATTTCACTCAATAGTAGAGAGAGGACAGATGATCAGTGGAGCCTCATTTTTGCCCGACTTGTTGGTGCAGGGGCTGAAGAAGGGCAGGATGACGTCGGTAAACCTGTCGCTGAAGGAGTATATGAGCGCTCTGGCGTCCACATTGTAGAAAGACACCATTCCTTTGTCATAATCCAGGAAGACGCCGATGCGAGAGGGCCGCTGGGTCAGGGTGAGTGGGGTGGACGGCTCAGTTCTGAAGGCGTAGTCTGTTTTATCGCGTAAACTCAGGAACCAGTATCTGTGAGCCGGGCTGACTGTGATTTTACCCTTTCTGCACACGGAGCGACTTGCTATGCCAAGGTCCCAGTCGGTCTTACTGCCAACTTCCACCTGCAATGCACAAGACTCAGGGTTAGTGGTAAGAATATTATATTGTGATGGGCCCAAGTTCAGATCTGGTTTAGTCCTGGTGGTTCATGCTGGTGGTTAAACTTTTTTTTTTGCAACTAAGCTGTATACATGATGTTTTAGACGCAGGGTTGTCAAACTCAAATTAACAGAGGGCCAAAATTAAAAACCGGGACTAAGTCAAGGACCAAACTAAATAGTTTAAATAAATAATATCTCTATATCCTATCTGTAGCCAGTGGGCCAGCTCTAATACATATTTGATATGATTTGCGGGCCAAATATAATTATATTGCAGGCGAAGTTCGGCCCCTGGGCCTGAGTTTGACATCTGTTTAAGCATTATTTTCCAAAGACTCGTGACCCTCAGGTGGGTCCCAAGAGATTTGTTTTGTGGGTCGCCTTGTTACGATCTCCATGTAGATCTGCAATATGCAGTTCTGACACACGAGAGAGCTAATGAGTCACTGAATCCTATCAGCCTGCCCTGAACAAGTTTTCCTGCAGCTAAAGTTAAGAAATATTTGCTTGGTTGTTAAAAAGAAGGGTGATAAATCAGCAAAGGTCAGTGCATTTCAGGATTCTTATGGATACCATTTACTGCTGGTTCAATTACTGAGTAATACTAATTGTTCACTCAGTCAACAATAAAATATCCTCATTAATGTTCAAAAATGGTCAAATTCACTTTTTTTTTTTTGTGATATACGAATAATGTCTACTGGCTTGGGTCGTGACTTTTAAAATATGGGTCCCCCGAAAAAAGTTTGGGAAACACTGTTTTAGAGGCATTAATCTATTCTTCCTTTTCTGTTCTATTTTTGCCATGTCAGTAGGTTAATTTGAAGCTTTGAGATTTAAAACAGTCAAAGAGAATGTGTGGTACCAGCTATACCTGATTTAATTGGTGTTTTATTGTTTGATAATCAGGAAGTTTGTGTGGACATTTGTGAAAAGTTAGTGCTTATAAACTCATCGCAGCGAATAGTTAGTTATGCTCGAAATGCATCAGGAGTGAGGAATAACTTTTGGACCACTGCAAAGGATTTAAAATGAACTAGTTCTGTTTTCCACATCTTTAAGACAGTACAAATCAGGTGCCTTTAAGTTTAAAGTGAGTATAACCTGACCCTGGCTCCACCCACCTCCCAGTAGTGGCGGCCGCAGTCAAAACCCTCCCTTGCCAGAGCACAGACCACACGGTCAAATCGCTCAGGGCTGTCAGGGACTATTTGGTGCTTGTCTCCACAGAACACCTGCTTCCCATCCAAAGAGATGACCAGGCGAGGGTGAGATGTGTTTGGGTCCAGCGTGATGTCCTCTGGTGGGGACATGGAAGAGGGTTTGAAAGTCACTTTAAAGTGCATATGACAAGTTACAGAGTACTTTTTCCACCAACACATCACATATTTAACAAAATTCTTTAAGATTTTGAAAAAAATTTCCCTAACTTTGTGTATATTTAAACTGTTTCTTTTGATGTTTTTTGGAGACAAAGCTAAAATAATCTTTACATTTAGCCTGGTCCTGATCAGGTATTGCCCAAATAAGCCAGACTTTGACTTTAGCTCACTTCATGGAATATAGAATTTGGAAAAAAAAAAAAAACAAAACATAAGTGTTTAAAATAGATGTTTTTGTTCTTTTTAATAAGCAAAAATCCATCAAGTAAACATGTGTAGTGAAGGCCCTTAAAAGCAGATGTATTATGTAAAATCATTGCTTATTTTCAAGATTCACTAGCACCGGTATACGCCCACTGCTTTGTACAAATTGTATTTTCTTAATTGGTCATAGATTAAGATTCTGTAGCAGACACAAGCACAAAAGGTCCTCTTTAAACATGAGACTCATTATGCAAAATAAAAATGTCTGAGCAGTGACACATAAGTTATACAATGTAAACATAGAGAAACACAAGTCAGTTAATAATACAAGTAGTCAATAAACATACCTGCGTATTCCTGGACTTTTTTGACCTCTGGATAAAGAGAAAACATTACAAATTTCTGTAAGTATCACACATGAAATATGAAATAAAATGTGTGGTTCTGTAAGTGTAATTGATATTTACTTGGATTGTACTTGATCACAGACTGCTCAAATTCTGGTTTCTGTCCTTTCCCTAAACAAAAAGATGAATATTATTCTCATGACATTGGATTTGTTTGTTTATTTTGAGGCTCTTATATGATTGGACTTAGACAAAACTTAATTTATTCAGAAGGAAATGACCTGGACACCGTAGCTCACACATTACAATATAATAACACAATGATAATAAGCGTACAGACTTCTGTGAGTCTGCACATCTCCTCTTTGAACCTCTCCATGGTCTGAGTGATGTTCCTCAGGATGACACCAGAGGGCAGCTCTGAGCCCACAGCTGCACTGGACCAGTCCTTGGTTTGAGGAAGAGCAGAGAGAGAGGAGAATGTCTGTGGAGAAACAAGACAGGTGAGAACATGTGAGTGAGGACAGGTAAAAACAAGTGAGGACAGGTAAAGGCAGGTGAGAACAAGTAAAGACGGGTAAGGACAGGTGAAAACATGTGAGGACAGGTGAACACAGGTGAGAACAGGTAAAGACAGGTGAAAACATGCGAGGACAGATGAATAAAGTGTGTCCAAACTGTAAAAGGTGTGATTTTTTTTTTTTAACAAATAAAAATGTATATTTATATTTAGTGCTGTCATGCGATTAAAAAAATTGAGAGATTAATTAATTATGATCTGTAATTAATTAATCTAATTAATCTCATTTTAATCTCACCTAAAAATTGCTGAGAAAAGCCTTCAATTTGAGGTATTTTCATTTAAATTCATTATTACATTATTGTGGCAGATCAAAAGACTAATATAGATTTTAAAAAGTGACTTTATAAAGTCATTTATTGTTTAACAAATCTCTCCAAATTGGCTGTTGAGCCCAAGTCTCCATGAATAAGAAACTGTTTGCTGTAAAGTAGCAAAGACGAGGAAATCTGAACATAATAACTTTTGTCTACTTAAAGACAATAAAAAGTCCAGTCTTTCCTTAACCATATTAAAAATATTATTGATAGAGAAATGCTTTATATATGAGATCACTGGTTTTAGTCCTGGTTTAGACCTGGTTTAGACCTGCTTTAGTCCTAGTTCAGTCCTGGAATGGATTAATCCTGGTTTTAGTCCTGGTGTTAGTTCTGGTTTAGTCCTGGTTTAGACCTGGTTTAGTCCTGGTTTAGTCCTGGTTTAGACCTGGTTTAGACCTGGTTTAATAATGGTTTAGTCCTGGTTTAGACCTGGTTTTAGTTCTGGTTTTAATTCTGGTTTTAGTTCTGGTTTGAGTTCTGGTTTAGTCCTGGTTTAGACCTGGTTTAGACCTGGTTTTAGTTCTGGTTTTAGTTCTGGTTTAGTCCTGGTTTAGACCTGGTTTAGTCCTGGTTTAGTTCTGGACTGGATTAGTCCTGGTTTTAGTCTTGATGTTAGTTCTGGTTTAGAGGCGCACAGGAGGAAGCGCGGTTTACGCAGCGTAGCGAGAAAACACGATCCACACTCGGCTCACGGGAGCACGTCGGTGTCCGCGCAGTGTCTACGGAAGGAAACGTGGTCCGCGCGTTCTGAGGTTAATGACGATGATGAAGGTGTGTGTTTGTGTGTGTTTGTGTGCGTGTCCCCTCATGTGGCAGGTCACTATAGGACAGTAGTGCAGACATCATGAGCCTATGCAGGTTGTTTTCAGGCGATATTATATTTGTTATTTTCTTTTATATTTCACGTCGGGAGAATAATTTCCAAGACACAAATGTGTTTTTCCCTGTGCACTGCTGCCTCTGTTCTACTGGCTCTTCGACCTCGTCCATTGTGCGCCTGACGCCGCCAACATGAACATGATGTTTACATTGCTCTTACTGCGCGCGTTTTGTGTGGCTTTCCGGCAATGAGTGGAATTACCGAAATAAAAAAATTATAAATGTGTTTTTTTTGTGTGTGTGTGTGTGTGTTGTTGTCCCAACAACACATAAAAACTGGTTTTATAATAAAGAAACTCACATACAGAAACACTAAAGTTAGAGATTAAAAATGAGATTAACGCGATTAAAAAACATAACGCGCTAAATATAACTGTAATTAATTAATCGCAATTAACGCGATAATTTGACACCACTATTTATATTAAATATGTGGAAACCATCTGATTTCGCAGCATTAGGATTCGTTCACTCGACGGTAGTCCAGTACTTTTTTAATTTAACCAATTGTTGCTGTTTGGTCATGATGTATGTAATACGCCGCTAACGGGACCACCTGGTATATTAAGCTTTTCCCAAATCCCGTAGGAAAAACGGCAATAACGTCTTTCCCATTGATAAAATTCACCAAACATTCTCTTTGTTCCGGCTTTAAAATCCTCGATCTTGGGAATCGTTGCCAACACAGAATGTATGGCTTTGTCTACATCCATCTCACTTTGTTTACTGTTGTCATGGCTTCACAGCTCTTCGGTGATTGGCCGGTGCACGGTCTACAGCTTCCTGGGTTCTTGCAAATCATCTAGTATATTCCGATTCCTGACCTAATCGCTGGAGAGAAATTAAATTAAGCGGAGGCACTAGGCGGCGCCAGCCTGGCTTGAACATCAGGCTCAGTAATGTAACAGTCATTGAGAAAACACACCCCACCAGAAAAATTACTTAGTGCACCTAAATTTCATTCACATATAAACTACACTACTACTATATGAGCAAGTAAATGGAAGTTCACATATTTTGATTATATATCCCCAGACTATGTTTTGTAAGTACTTTTGGCAGTGTAAGTTTGTGTGAGCTCTTACAGTGAGGAGTTGTATGTAGTTGTCAGTCTGGGCGAGTTGGGTCAGAGTGGCTCTCCTCTTCTTCAGTTCTGATAGTTCTTCTTCCAGTTCTTTCAACAGCTTCTGAGCCTTGTGCTCTGCTGCTCTGCGACTTATCTCTATAACCTAAGACCAGCAAGAACTTTTATTTACAATGGATCAAAAATTACAAAAGTTACAAACAGCTCTAACATTCAGTAATCATAATCAGTTTTGATGTGAATGTCTATTCCGTAGACATTACTGCCGTTTTTTGACTTCCATATGCTGTCCTAGATAACTGTATAGTCTCTTAAAGGGCCTATATTGCAGTATTTTTTGTGATCTATGTTATAATGTTGTTTCCTCATCAGAACAGACCTGGAGTTGTGTTTTGTTTCATTCACACATGTTTAACACACAAACCCTGCATATTTAGTCTATTTCACTCAAAACACCTTGTTCCACCTTGTGACGTCATGTGGTAATAGACGTGCTAGAAGTGCTTCACTGTGTTTTTAAACTCCACACACCTTCACTAGAATCATATGGAAGATTTCAGCCCTTGAATTGCCAATCTCTCCTGATCTAAAGGTAAAAGGTAGCTGTAACTTGAGATTACTGCTTCATGACATCACAAGGTGGAACAGAGCATTTTGAGTTTTGAAGATGTAGAGAGACTAATAAACCAGAATTACTCAAACATGTGTGAATGAAATAAAACACAATTCCAGGTATGTTTTCGATGGAGTAACAACATTATAACATGGCTTATAGCTCATAAGAATCCATTTTGTGTGATATGGGATGTTTAAAGGTACAGGGTGTTTTTGGTGGAAAGTGTGGCATGGAGATGTTATTGCTCTGCCTGGAATGTTGCCTGGATTGTTCCACAGTATGGCATTAAAATTATCTCCATGGAGACAAGCAGGTTGCTTAACTAGGCCATGTCACTGGACGGATCTGTGAAGAGATGTTTATGATCACAATACAAATGTATATTGTGATTATGTTTATGTTTGTCAAGTTGTTTTTGAACTATAAAAACACTTGTAATAAAATAAATATGAAATGTATGTTTAATGCCATACTGTGGAACATTCCAGGTAAAGCAATAACCGCCTCCATGGAGACAAGCAAGTGGCGTACCCTCCACTAGAAAAATTACATACTGCA